CACTGGTCTGCAGGTCAGAGGTTGACGGGGGGTGTGGCTGAGGGGCAGAGCCAGGACAATGATGCATCCAAGATGGGGCTGAGTCCCACAGTCAGTCACATTGACCTCAGGTAACCCTTGATTGAGCCACTCCATTATAAGCAGAGCACACCTTTCAGTCAGTGCTTGGTTGTTTTGTTGCCTGCCTCAGAACTCATAGTGTTTGTTTCTCTGTGTTTCCTGTCCTTGCTGGTTTCCTGACTCTGCCTGCTCTCTGGCTGCCCTGACCTCTGGACCGCCTGACTCTGATTTCTGCCTGACCCTTGTTTGGATACCTTTGCCTTGGATTTTTTCTGTTATTTTTTTTAATTAAATGCCCGGTGGGCCGCAGTAGCCGCGGGGCCGAGGCCGGCAGGGGAGGTCCCAGGATCTCCCCTGCCGGTCTATGCAGGGCCGGCACTCTCCTAGCGCCGGCCCCGCTGTTTGCCACGACGGGCCTGTGGGGAGATCAAAGCTCTCCCTCACCGGCCCAAATGCGGCCGCCGGCGGGGAGGGAGGGAGACAGACAACCAGCCAGCCTGGAGAGAGGACCCGGCGGAGCTCTAACTTGCAGCTCCGCCAGGTTCCTCTCGCGAGATCCGGCGTGTTGCCATGGCAACGACCGGATCTCACGAGAGTGAACTCTAGCCTCATAGGCTAGAGTTCACACACCCACGAGGACCACCAGGGAACACCGCCTCCCCGCCTCCCAGTCCCAGCGTGCCGGTCCCCCCACTCCCAGGCTAAAGGTAAGAAGGGAGGAGGGGGGGACATAATGCCTGTTTTTTGTTTATTTACCCCCCCTACACACACACAATAACATTTATACAGCACTCTCACACCCATCACACACAGCACTCTCACACCCATCACTCTCTCACACAGCACTCTCACACCCATCACACACAGCACTCTCTCACCCATCACACTCTCACACCCATCACTCTCACACTCACAGCACTCTCTCACAGAGCAATCACACACACACAGCACTCTCGCACACAGCACTCTCACACCCATCACACACAGCACTTTCATACACACAGCACTCTCTCACAGCACTCTCTCACAGAGCACTCTCACACACACACAGCACTCTCTCACACAGCACTCTCACACCCAGAACACACAGCACTTTCACACACACAGCACTCTCTCACACACAGCACTCTCTCACAGCACTCCCTCATAGCACTCTCACACACAGCACTCTCATACAGCACTCTCACACAGCACTCTCACACCCATCACACACAGCACTTTCACACACACAGCACTCTCTCACAGCACTCTCACACCCATCACACTCACAGCACTCTCACAGAGCACTCTCTCACACCCATCTCACACAGCACTCTCACACGGCACTCTCACACCCATCACTCTCACACGGCACTCTCACACGGCACTCTCAAACACACCGCACCCCTCACACACACACCGCACCCTTACACACACACATACTGCACCCCTCACATACACACAGAACCCCCCCAACACACTGCACCACACACATACACAATACTTCCAAATATATATATATATATATATATATATATATATGCACACACACACTACACTCTTAAAAGACCACTCTAGCCACCCAGACCACTTCAGCTTAATGAAGTGGTCTTGGTGCCAGGTCCTTCTAGGGTTAACCCATTGTTTTATAAACATAGCAGTTTCAGAGAAACTGCTATGTTTATCAATGAGTTAAGCCTTCCCCCAAAGCCTCTAGCGGCTGTCTCATTGACAGCCGCTAGAGGCGCTTGCGTGCTTTTCACTGTGAAAATCACAGTGAGAGCACGCAAGCGTCCATAGGAAAGCTTTATAAATGCTTTCCTATGCGACCGTCTGAATGCGCGCGCAGCTCTTGCCGCGCGTGCGCATTCAGCCGACGGGGCGGATCGGAGGAGGAGAGCTCCCCGCCCGGCGCTGGAAAAAGGTAAGTTTTAACCCCTTTCCATACCCGGACGGGAGGGGTTCCCTGAGGATGGGGGCACGAGTATGTTTTCCTGGCACTATAGTGGTCCTTTAACATACACACTCTGGATCCCCTATACACACACACTAGATTCCTTGTAAGCAAACACATACTACACCCCTAAACACACACACACACTATAGCCTGTATGCACACACTTGCTATATCCCCAATACACACATTCTCTACAGCCCATAGCCACATACACAACACGACTAAAACCGACCTTATTACACAATACCACACCACGACCAGCTCACTCTACACACACGCAATACCACAAGCAGGCTCCAAACACATGCACAATACTATTTCCTGGCCTTTTTGTCTCCTGGTATCCATTTATAGAGACACCAGAGACAAGTTGCAAGGAAACACAGTGCAAGCATGTTATTAAATTTTCTTGCACTGTGCAGAACAAATACAGGACTTTTTTCTCATGCTAGAGCTCTTCAGCAGAGCTCTGCGCATGGTCTGCCCTGGAAGAGCATTGAACCAACATGCTCACTTTGAGAGGAGGCGTGTTTGTCATTGGTGATGACAAAACACACCTCCTCTACCACGCCCCCTTTTTAGTGGGCCGCTGTGTTAAAAAAATGCTCGGGCCGAATTTTTCTCCCAGTCCGGCCCTGCCTGTGCCCATACTGAACCAGCAGAATCCTGTTCTCAACCTCAGGATCTCTGTGGATCGTGCTTATAAGGGAGAACCTGCACCTCAGTTCCAGGACTGAACACGACCCCAGTGGTTTATTACAACTGCACACATGATTTTGTCAACCCTAATAATTACATCTGTCCTCAGCAGACATAACAATCTTCTCTCTTGAAGGCAGCGTGCCTGCAAAGGGACGCTTAGTCTTCTGTCCCTTACTCTCTACCCCTGTGGCCCCAGTCTACCCTCCACCTTTCCTGCATTAAACAAATAGCCATTATTTTTTTTAATTAAAATACAAATCCTACACTGGCTTCCCCCACCCTCCCTTCATCGCTCACAACGGTGGCATAATGGTCTAATCACTGGCCTCTCTTTGGGAAGCTTGTGATTGGACCATGAGAAAACTGCCATGATGACGGATGGAGGAGGGAGATCAGATTTCACTTACGTTTTTTAAAAAAAGAGGCGGGGCTAGCAAAAAATGGCCAATATGGAATTATGAGGTAAAAACTCACAAATCGAAACCCTTTAAAGTAGAATATAAATTAATCTATTAGCTTGATTAATTACAACCAGACAAACTAAAGTGGCATATTGAAAAACATGGGTTACACTTGGTCAGTAAAAAGATTAAAGATATTTACCTGCAAGCTGACTTCTGTGTGTAGCTCAGTTAAGTCTGCAAATCATGATTTCGCTCTACACCTGGAAAAAAACTGGCATGCTTAATCATAGCTGAAAACACTGGAACTTCTTTGCTGTTTACATGTAAAGGTGGATAGAAAAAAAAAAAAGTTGTAACACAACCAGCTGTTTCAAAATTCCACATTCTGGGGACTTTAAAAGAAAAAATATGCATGTAACAAAAGGTATGCATTTTGAGATTAGTGCATTAACCATTTCAGTGTCACATCAGCCATTTCAGAGTTGAGAACAGCAATGTATTACAGAATGGGAAATAGTTTAAAAAAAAAAAATGTAACAAAAACAGTGGATTGGCTCTTTCATACACTTTTTGTAATGATAAAAAGCATTTGATTCAGGCAGCAAATGACCTTCCCTCTATAGTGGAGCAGAAACTGATGAGGTGGAAGCCCAATAAAGGGGCCCTGTGTATTTCTCCACACCATTTATGGTGGGTTAACGTAATAATAATAATAACCTGAAAAGGGACTGGCAAATTCTCATAACCCTTCCTCCTCCTCTGGTTGGTAGGGTTGGCCATAATTATTGTAATACAAAGGAGGCAGGGGGTCCTTAAGCTATCTCCCGAAAACTAGGGCCTAAGGGAACCCACTGGATCCCATCCCAAACAAATCTCACTCATGAGAGTCAGTCATCTCACCCCAGTTACATTCTAGAATCGTACAGACCCCAACATATGTAATTTTAAAGCTGCTCTCAACTATGGACTTACATGACTAATTTCATTGTCAAGACATTATGCTTGGTATTATAAGGCAAAACTTTTATGCCTAGAACATTAATAAACAGAATTTTGGAATAATTTTCAGTAATGCCAAATGTTCTGAAAATTGGGGCTTTAAAATAATTGACCTGTAGTGTATGCTGTATGATTTACAGTATAGTAAAATAAGAGTTACAAAATGACTTGCAGGGATAATGCTCCTTTACAGAGCTGTGTGCATGAAGTCAAATAGGGAGCAAGATCATTACAACCTAATCTCAGTAACCCATACACCAGACTAGACCACCAAAACTTGTGTGAATGTATTACTTCCTGCCTAGTCATAATAGGTGTAATAAAGGAAAAAAGTGTATACACTATAAAAGAAAAAATAAAGCAAGTACTAGTTTTATGAAAACGTATATAAACATTTATTTTAAAGGATTTGGTATTATTTTATGCTGTGTGCAGGCCCGGACTGGCCATCGGGCACACCGGGCAAATGCCCGGTGGGCCGCGGTGGCCATGGGCCGAGGCCGGCAGGGGAGATCACAGGATCTCCCCGGCCGGCTCCTGCAGGGCCAGCGCTACCCGAGCGCCGGCCCCGCTGTTTTCCATGAAGGGCCGGTGAGGGAAATCAAAGATCTCCCTCACCGGCCCACATGCTGTATAATGCGGCAGCGGGCAGGGGGAGAGGGGGGGAGACAGCCGCTAGGAGAGAGGACCCGGCGGAGCTCTAAATTAGAGCTCCGCCGGGTTCCTCTCGCGAGATCCGGCACGTTGCCATGGCAACGACCGGATCTCACCACAAGGACCACCAGGGAACCCCCCCTCCCAGTCCCAGGGATCAGTGTGCCGGTCCCCCCCTCCCAGGCTAAAGGTAAGAAGGGAGGGGGGGACATAATGCCTACTTTATTTATTTAACCCCCCTCCCCCCTACACACACAATCCATTCTAACATTTATACAGCACTCTCACACCCATCACTCTCACACCCATCACTCTCACACCCATCACTTTCTCACACACAGCACTTTCTCACACACAGCACTCTCACACCCATCACTCTCACACCCATCACTCTCACACCCATCACTCTCACACACACAGCACTCTCACACACACAGCACTCTCTCACACACAGCACTCTCTCACACACAGCACTCTCTCACACACAGCACTCTCACACACAGCACTCTCTCTCACACAGCACTCTTTCTCACACAGCACTCTCTCACACAGCACTCTCTCACACACAGCACAGCTCTCTCACACACAGCACTCTCTCACACAGCACTCTCGCACACACAGCACTCTCACACACAGCACTCTCTCTCCACAGCACTCACACACACTCAGCACTCCGCACTCTCTCACACAGCACTCTCACACACAGCACTCTCACACACAGCACACTCTCACACACAGCACACTCTCACACACAGCACACTCTCACACACAGCACTCTCACACACAGCACTCTCACACACAGCACTCTCACACACAGCACACTCTCACACACAGCACACTCTCACACACAGCACTCTCACACACAGCACTCTCACACACAGCACTCTCACACACAGCACTCTCTCACACAGCACTCTTTCACACAGCACTCTTTCACACAGCACTCTCTCACAGTACTCACACACAGCACTCTCTCACACACACAGCACTCTCACACACAGCAGTCTCTCACAGCACTCACGCACTCTCACACACATAGCACTCTCACACAGCACTCTCACTCACGGCACTCTCACACACATCATACACAGCACTCTCACACTCATCAGACACACACACATCACACAGAGCACTCTCACACACCGCACTCTCACACACATCACACACCGCACCCCTCAGACACACATACTGCACCCCTCACATACACACAGAACCCCCTCAACACACTGCACCACACACATACACAATACTGCCAAATATATATTTATATATATATACACACACACTACACTCTTAACATACACACTCTGGATCCCCTATACACACACTAGATTCCTTGTAAGCAAACACATACTACACCCCTAAACATACACTACATCACCTATATACACACACACACACACTATAGCCTGTATGCACACACTTGCTATATCCCCAATACACACATTCTCTACAGCCCCTAGCCACATATGCATCACATTACACCACAAACACAACATGACTAAAACCAACCTTATTACACAATACCGCACCACAATCAGCTCACGCAATACCACAAGCAGGCTCCAAACACATGCACAATACTCTTTCCTGGCATTTTTGTTTCCTGGTATCTTTATAGAGACACCAGAGACAATTTGCAAGGAAACACAGTGCAAGCATGTTATTAAATTTGCTTGCACTGTGCAGAACAAATACAGGGCTTTTTTTATCATGCTAGAGCTCTTCAGCAGAGCTCTGCGCATGGCCTGCCCTGGAAGAGCATTGAACCAACATGCTCACTTTGAGAGGGGGCGTGTTTGTCATTGGTGATGACAAAACACACCTCCTCTGCCCCCGCCCCCTTCTTAGTGGGCCGCTGTGTTAAAAAAATGCCCGGGCCGAATTTTTCTCCCAGTCCGGCCCTGGCTGTGTGTAAATGTCTGTTTAAATGTGAAGCACTGTACAAAATAGGTTTTCCTCTGAAATAATCAATTCAATGAATGTTAGCATTCTGTGACATCAGGAAACAAGGAGTATCAAAATTTTTAAATATCCTTATACGTGTCAGTTTTGGGTTGCAAATACATCTATCATCATGATGAGACCTCTAAAGCATGTGACTTGTATTAATTCACTTTGATCATAGGAGGAATTTCATCTTTCATTTTCAATGGTTCTACTTATCTAATCTCACATATTTGAGTGGCCGTGTAAGTACCACGGAAAGGCTTCTCAGCCTCAGGGGTTCTACTTGTCCGTGGATTCTAAGCAATACAATAAAAAACCCCAGCGAACGTTAGATAAAACCATAGAACAGTTTGTGCTAAATTAACAAGAGCCCTCTGGAGGTTTCCTTGCTGTCAGTGAAGGCAGCTGGGCGGTGGGCTAAAAGACAGTTTTTTTCCAGGATGCACTAGGGAAGTAAAGGAGAGAACATAACGGAAAGGAGGGAGGGGGAGAGAAGGCTGGAGAAGAGAGAGAAACTGAGAGGAAGAAAAAAAAATGAGAGCAATGATGTCTGGCAGACAAGTGTGCGACAGGAATCAGAGATAAGCAGGAATTAGAAATGCATTAGTACAAGCTTCAAAGGAAAAGAAGGAAAGGATCCGAGGGCATATCCAAGACTGGCAATGCTTTTAGATAAGAAAAAAAGGCAAAGATGATATACACAAACACTAGAATGACCACCTGATTTGAATTGGCAAGGATAGCCTATAGCAGTTCTGTGTCTTTTATCTGTGGTGCCAACAAATTTGACTAAGTATAGCATTACTGAAAATTCTATAGGAATATAAATATGGGGGAAAGAATTTAAGGAACCTCTAATGTGTGACTGTGTGTATATGTGTGTGTGCATACAGTGTTGGCATGGTGGATTCTGCCACACTAAGCAGATTCTGCGTCTTTCTTGTTGCAAATAGTTCTAGATAGTTGTCATAAAAACATTTATTTCTCATAAAAGATGGCTAACGTATTAAGCAATTAAGCAATGAGGTGTTAAAGGGTTAAAATAACTAATTATTACAGTTCGGTAACAGAGTTAATGAACATTTTCCAGTATACTCTACTTCAGCGTTTCCCAATTGGTGTTCTGCCAAAAGTTTAAAAAATAAAATGGCCGCGGGGCGGCGAGGGAGCAGTGATCTCCCTGCTAAGCCCCTCGCGCGCACAGCAGTGATGCTGGAGCCGGAATATGACGTTGCTCCGGCTCCACTAAGAGGCGCGCAAGTTTGCTGAGCAGGAAGATCACTGCTCCCTTGCCACCCGCACGCCAGCTGCCCAGCAGCCCCACTGGAACATAGGGACTCCATGCAAACACTCCGAAAGGTAGGGGGGGATGAAAAATGTAATAAAAATAAATAAAATTGTATGTGTGTTTGTTAGGGAGTTTGTATGTCTGCCAAATAGTATATGTGTGTTTGTCAGTGAGAGTGAAAGTGTGCTTGTCAGTGAGTGTGTGACAGTGTATGTGTTTGTGAGTGAGAATGTATGTTCTTGTCAGTGAGAGTGTATATGTGTGTCTGTAAAAGAGCATGTGTGTTTGTCAGTGAGAGTGTATGTGTGTCTGTCAAAGAGTATGTGTATCTAAGTGTGTGTGTGTATGAGCCAGTGTGTACCAGTGTGTTTGTATGTGCCTATGTATGGCAGTGTGTGTGTATCTGAGTGTGTCAGTGTGTGTATGTGCCAGTGTGTATCTGTGGGTGCAAGTGTGTGTATATGTCACTCTGTGTATCTGACTGTGTGTGTACTTGTGAATCAAGATGTGTGTGTCAGTGTGTATCTGAGTGTGTGTATCTGTGTGTCAAGGTGTGTATCTGTGTGCCATTATGTGCCAGTGTTTGTGTATCTGTGTGTCAGATACACACACACACACTGACACAGAGATACACACAATAGCGCATATAACCACAGATATACACTTCTTAACACACACCAGCACATCCAAACACAGATACACACACTCTTAAACATAGATACACACACCTTGACACACATATACATACACACACACACACACACACACAAATACACACTGTGTGTCACGGTGTGTGTATATGTGTCAGTGTGTTATCTCTGTGCCACTATCTGCCAGTGTGTGTATCTGTGTGTCATACAAACACAGATACACACACCTTGATACACAAACACATGCAAACACAGATACATACATTTTAACACACATATACACATACCTTGACACAGATACATACATACACACACACACACACACACACACACTGGCACATAGATACACACACCTTGACACACAGTGTGTATCTGTGTGTGTGTGTGTGTGTGTATCTGTGTGTCAGATATACACATACACACACTGGCACATAGAAGCACAGATATACACACCTTGACATACAAAAGAACGGACGCAATCCCCCTACTCGACGACGTTGATACACTATGTCAAAGGGTTCCACAGGAAAAATTAATTAGGAACCCCTGCTCTAGTTATATACAAATATATGGTATGGAGGAAGGTAGCACCAAGGGACACTCAGGAATGGAGAAAAAGTGAGTAATTCATTTTTTTTTATTTTTTTGTATACATGGGGGAGGGAGGAGGAGGGACTAAATGACAAGGGGCATCAGGATTGTGGATTTCGGATTACAGATATGTATTCCTAATGCCAGTGCTCCTCACCCCTCTCCTCAAGGCACACCTAACAAGCAGAATTTAGGGATTACCTAGGTGTATCCGAAGTGTTTAAAGAAAACAAAAACGCACACCTTGTACTCTAAAGGTTTTTTTTTCCTTTTTCTAAACATCTTAGATACACTTGGGTAATCCCTAAATCCTGCACTTGAGCCTTTGTGTGCCTTGAGGAGAGGGTCGAGGAGCATTGCCTAACGCAATAGTGTTCCTTTAAGGAGAAGATGTTGGTGCCCAGTTATGAAAGATGAAGCCTAGACTTGAAAGAACTGCTCAGGAGTTTGCCTCAAGTTGCTGCTGTTAGATCAGTTTTATTAATATAATTAATAGTGAGCCATACATAAACAGAACTTGAATAATAAAAGCATTGCTTCATCTCCTCTTAAAAATGCTTTATATTTTTTAATGCAAAGGTTTCTCTCTAATCTGTTAGCAAAATTTTGGAGATTAGAGGACAGATCACATAGAAATTTCTTTGAGACTGTGCTTTGGTGCGCACCTTAAAGGAATACTGCTAATTGTCTGTCTTTCATAATCAATCTGTAAAAGCATTGTTCCTAGCCTAAATACTCTCTTAATTAACATGTAATCCCTGGGTAAAGGACCTTTTCTGCTAATGTACCGAGTCTAAAATCAGCTGCCTGTAGCTGTGTTTTTACCTTCCAATTGAGCTACTGTGGGAAAATGGACAATAAGAGAAAAACATAACAAACATAGCTGACGTTTTGCAGCCCGCATGAGGTGCTATAGGTCCAGATTGAGCCATTTGAACAAAGAGTAGGTAGTGTAAAAAGTCGCACCTGCACTTGTTATCAGGCACAGAGGTTTCAGGGACAGGTTTGTTTAGCTACTGCTTTCATTCTGATGTCT